TGTTGTTGTTGTTGAAGCGCTACCAGCACAAGCGGCCGCGAATTGTAGCCGTCGAATCACTACAGGAGAGCCTGTGGAGGGCCCAACTTTCGAGATTCCAACAGTTCCCTGGCTCTCCAACCATACATCTTTGAAAAGCCAATGGCTGCAAGCTGCATGTAGCTGTAGCTGCTATAGTAGTCCCGTCCGTCGCGTAAGGCTTCTGTTTGCAAGGCTCAGTAGTCCTGTACGCAGGGTAAGGCCGGACATGCTGTCTATTTTCTGAGGCCTAGAAGTCCCGCTGGTCGGCTGAGGCCATGCCATATAGTGCTGTTCGCGTTTTTTACGCAGCGGATAGTCCCTGGGCCTCCTATAGTCTGGCGGACGGTGAGGCAGCCCCCTAGTGTGGGGCTAGTGAGGTAGCCTCCTAGCCCCCTAGTCAACAGGCCGACGCCTATCGCTTGCAAAGCTCACGTTTCTGATTGACGGTCTGCTGCGCTTTCATGCTTGCCTCGGGTCAATCAGCCATTCAACTATTGAGCTGGCTTGCTTTGTGTTGAATTTGCTCACGAAAAGCACAGCAGCCGAGCAAAGCGCACAAGTTCTGTGAGTGATACGCTTAAAGTTCCGTTTTGCAGACAATTGCGTGTGCAGAGTCCTCGGGCCGGCACGCAGGCTGCAGTTTTGCGCTCCGCACGGGCTGAGTCCACGCACGGACCGCCCTGTCAAGCAGGTCTTGCTTATTAGCTTTTGGCAGATTGCTGCGAGGCAAGACTGGCCAGCTATGGGGCTTCAAGTTTTGCTTGCTTTGTTCTTGGGCCCAGCCTGGTATGTATGGTCTCCGGCTTGCTAAACTTGCCCCACAGCTGGCCATTCATGCACATCAGCCCGATGCCCGCCAAGGTGACGGAAGACCCGCACGAGCGTCTGAATTAATGAATGTTGTTGTTGTGGTCGTGGGCATGGGCATGGGCGTGGGCGTTGTCGTTGTCGTTGTCGTTGTCGTTGTTGTTGTCGTTAGGGTCGTCTTCGTCTCAATTTTGACAGCGGTTGTCACAGCGGCTCTCGTAAGTGCAGTACCAGCGATAGCCGCAGCAGCAGCAGCAGCAACAGCAGCAGCCGCCGGACCAGAGAACTTGAGACGAAGTGTAGGATGAGCGGGGCGAAGGATTTGGTCGCGACTAATCCTCTAGCCGTTCTAGCCCTAGCAGGCAACACTGGCGATAGCAGTGGTTTTGATAACACTACTAAGTACATGCGACCGGCCTATGGCTGATGCCACAATGCAGCACGCCATCTTCCCCGCTTCGTCATCATCATGATCATCATCACGGTCAGAAGCTGCCTCCCGATTACAAGTCCGAGCTTAAGACGAATTTCAAAACCATGCCATTGTGCCCCCATCATGTCATCATCACTCATTGCTCACCAACAGCGCGAGAATCAGTGGTCCCCATCGTCACCACCACAGCCACCTTTGAAATCGTCACGAGCAGCAGCAGCACCACCAGCACCAGCAGCATGCACCTACCCCACCATCATCGCCACCGCTACCGCCACCGCGCCAGCGTCAGCAGCAGCAGCATCATCAGCATCAGAATCTCTTCCTCTTCGTCGCCCTCGTTATCGCTGTTGTCATTAATTATCATCGCCACCACCATCATCATCATGACTTTTCGCGAGCAAGATTTCAGTGTAACAATGCTATTCAGCTACTCCATCCCACGAGGAGTGGAAAACCCTCACAGCAAGGAGATGAACATTGGAGAAAAGTTGGCAATTTGCAACAAGGTTTTTTACAACAGCTTTCAATTTCAATCAGGGCCCGCTTCTTTGCTCATGCAACTGACAACGGCTGCGATTTCTCTCTCCCTTCCCCTTGACACTCCAGACTGCCCCGTTGTGTCAGGTGCCTTTCACATGCACGTTCGGCGAAGAAGTCCAGCAGCTGGGTTTTCGCATCAACTGGTCCGGAGAAAGGCAAGGACCTGACGAACGAGTTACAACGGTGGCCAGCCGCAACATAGAGATGCATACTTGACAAGCATGACATGGCAGGCCATCCATTGAATCAATCCAGCAGGGCGCTGCTTACCAAAGATGCCGGGCTGCAAATTATCGCAAAGTGTGCCACGTGAGACGCAAGGCTGTCACCGGGAGTCTGTTCCTGCCTTGCAGACCGAGGTGGCATTCGTGAGATGGACATCATACTGGCCATAAATGGAACTGATACTCAGCATCAGACAAGCTGCGTGGCTGCAAAACACATGTTTTTTGGTAATCAATGGAGACGCCGATGCTCATGACCTGACTTCCCGTTCCCCTGGCGTCTAGAAACGATCACTCAATCTAACTTGCACACAGGAGATGATTTGTTACCGCTTTTGCGGGAGCGGCCGCTGCAGCTGAGCATGACGAGAACGAGCAGCACGCAGGAAGCACCGCTTTCATGTAAGTTTCTACGGTGTAGCGTCAGGACTTTCAACCCTTAACAGTATAGAAACTGAAATAGGCCACCTATTCCTTGCTGTTGGCAAGTCAGGTGCGCATTCGCGGCAGCCAAGGTGCAAACTATACTGTCAAGTTCGGACCATTCGTCCCACCAACAGGTCAGCTAATTCCGCTTGTTCTTGCGGGTATCTTAGGAGCACTTAACTCCCAAAATACCGGGACCAAACCCGTGACTACTGAACCACACTAGTTCAGATCCCGGAAGGATCCAAGAAATCCTTCGACAGGTTGTTTGCAATGCACATAAGGTGCAAGCAGGATAGAACTTGAGTAGGCACGTGTACGAAACGGTACAATACCTGAACCCACTAGAAATAAACGAATCAACGACCAAGTGCGTACAAGTGTGTGCATGTACAGATATGCACGTGCTGCACACTCGCTCAAGGGTGGCGGCAGTATTGTGCATTCCTGCTTTCTGGAGGCCTGACTTATCAGGTTCGCAGACTTCACAGGGCTCGAAGTGTACACACGACGAAGGAATACAAGAATCTTCACGAATTTGGATGCAACGAGCCACATTCGTGGAAAATCTTTTCACGGCACTGCTGCACGCTGCAAACCCGGCTCCAAGCCGTCAGACGCACCCTACGTCGACACCGCCGAGACCAGTTCCACAAGTGTACTGTCCAAGCTCACCGACCTGTACGATCAGGCTGCACTTTGAGCTCATCCATGGCAGGCGTGTTCATAGTGCCGCGCTGCCGTCGTAAAACTATATACACATGCGCGTCTAAGGAAATGCGGCGTCGTTTACGACCGCCACGAGGGCGGCTGCTTACGAACACGCCATGCGAACTGAGTCTGTGCCGCTCCACATTCCCTGTACGTAGACATTGCGCTGCCTGCGTCCATCGACGTCAGTTTTCCTGTGCTGACGTTTGCAGCGTTCGTTGCATGGATCGTATAAACCACTTATATCCTGCAGGTTGTATACATGTGCCCTGTCGGGCGCACGGGCGCAGTGCCCAGGTGACAGCTTAAACTTCTATAGCATCCAAGTCTAGGCCAAGGTAGTTGTTGCCGGTGAAGCAATGTGTGCGAGTTTTGTTGGCAGGCTGTTAACACAGACTGAGAAAGAAAAGCTAAATGTTAAATATGCATGGATGCATGCATGCATGTATATACCGATCTTCTTATGCATGGAACCTGATAGAGGCTTGAGGCCAACCAATCAGCATCTACTCGAGAAGCAGTTGACATGGAGTAGCTACCTGATATGCAGTTAGCCACATCTCCACGACCTTTCGGGCCCTTTGCGCGCCAGGGACGACACCTCCATCACCACGTGCAGCCCTGATGCAGGGATGCTTTCGTTTCCAGGTGCGTGCCTACCGCGATTCTTCAATTGAAGACGGTGCGTTGGAACTACGAGAATAGCCTTGAGACGATCTCGAAACGCAGGCCATGCTGTCTGTGCCTGATACGGCTCACACGCATTGTGTGATGCTGCTGCGGACAGAACGTTCGTGCGCCATGCTGCGGCTGCTGCAGAACACCTGTTGTGCATGCGGTTCGATATATCCGCTCGACATGGTAATGTCCATTTGCCAACCATTGCGGGGCCCGCTCGAACAGATGGCAGCGGCAGGGGCCGGTGGATCACGAGCACGCCGTTTCTTTTCGTTCATTCGAAGGGTATAAGGGCGTGTTCTGACCCGACACTCCGTCGCTGTCCACGATGCCTTCGACATCCGCGCCGGAAGTTGAAACGGCTCGGTGGCACTGTCGTCCTCATCAGTTCCGGGACCGGTTGCGGAACAAGCCTGTGCCTGTGCATCGTAGGGCCGACGAGGAGCGTCCCACTTCTTGCCAGGCAAGTCGGGTACAGCTTGGAGCGAACTATGGCCACCACGATGTGGCGTCACGCCTTGAAATTATCTGTACGTCAAGTACCTACGCTTCCTGGATGATGTTGCCACGTAGCAGGCGCTATGATTAACTTGCTGCCCCACCAAACCGTCCGAACTGGGGCAGTACCTGGCCTCTTCGGGCCTTGAAGCATCGTTGGCCAAGTTCGAAAAAACCGTCTGCCCATTTAACAGCTATATCGAATGAATGTCGCGTTTGGCTTGTCACGCATGGGATATGCAACGACGGAAATGGCCATCTCCAACAAGAGATACGATAAGTCAATGATCTATGTACACACGTGCAGCGTGCTCGTCCAGCTAATTGCGCTGTCCCGCGGATGTCGAGGCAGCAATAGGCAGCATTTCTAAAGTCGGGCGAAATGCCACGCGATCTGAAATGGCGACAGCATCGAATTGAGCTGCGTGCCGGAAGAGACGTGCGAAACTGTTTGCGTGTCCTTACCTTCTTGGATACGTTGGCGCCGAGCATGATGAAACGCGTCGGCCTCCTGCAGTAGCTGGCAATCCGTGGTGCGTGAAGGCACATGCAGTTGGCCGAATGAAGCATGCGACCAGCAAAAACCGGCTGCCGAACCAAAATCCGGACAGTTTGCTCGATTGCGTGCCTAGGTTGTACGAGCATGTGGTTTGTTCTGCACATGGGAGGTTGCCTAAATGTTCGGCTGTAAAATGGAAAGCCGTGCCATAACTATTTTTGGAGCATGCTGTTTACTCTTCGGAATGAGGCGGGGACCGAGGTTGGGGGTGTTAATCACCATGTTGGCGCGATATTAGCGATAGTCTGGTACTAGAACAACAGGATGTATCGTCATACAGTAAACGGGCTTGTGTAAGAAAGTGGAATGTTTTGTAACTGTACGTTGGTATATATGTGGCATCATCCCTCAAAAGAAGATTTGGACATTGCAGCATGCAATACAGCCCACTCTCAAGTTGGCAAACCGATATGGCGGTGCCGACATGCTGTCGTTTCCGCAATTGCGGAGCTGCCAAGGCAGCACACTTTCACCCGTGGCATAGCGCTCATGTCTGCCAATGAACTCCTTCGTTGAAGTGTTGAAGCATTGAGAGGTTCTGGTTCGTTTTTACCAGTGTCGGCTGTAGCAGCGTAGCCACCCCCATCCCATCGGTTGGTGTTGCAACCAAGACCACTGCTGGTTTATCTATGTGGGGCCGGCCACATCCAGGCCATCATGCTGTTATCTTCTCACTCGGGCTCTTTGCGCCGTGATTTTTCAGGCATACACAGTTTTCAAACGATGCAATCGCAAGAGTCATGCTGCTAAGTGGTAAAATCGAGCCGCCCGTGGACCTTTACGTCATTTTTTCGGTAACGATGAGGTTCTGGAATCCTGGATGGGCGAACCCATCCGAGGGACCCAGGTCTCTTTCACAACGTCGAGGCTTTGAGGGCAGAGCCAGGTGGTTCTGTGGCATGTGCGTCGCGGGAGGTAGTCGCTTCAAGACCCACGTAGTGGGCTCTTTCCTTCCGACCCCGAAAGCAGTAGCTTCAAACTGGATTTTGGACTCGAAACGCGACGACGTTCCATAACAAATTGCCTATTATTTCATTTACTGCAGTTGGTATTTGGCGCAAGCTGGGCGCGAGTTCGGCGCTAGAGAAATATTGCCAAGTTTGTCGCTTGCCACTAGTTGCCCAATCCTGTGTCAACCAGTCTACAGCGAAACCGGGGTGACCGTCCAGTAGCACCGCGGTTTCGGAAGTTTGTGTATTGAATGTTGTCAGGCCTCGTAAAGCCCAGTCCAGAATCCAGTTTACTGGTATGGCCGGGGTCGGAAGGACATAGCCCACTAAATAGATCTTCAAGCCAATAGTTCCTATGGCGCAGATGCCGAAGATCTACTTGTTTCCGCCCTCCAGCTCTTCAAGTTGCGAGGATGTCTTCGCACTCCAAGTTTCCCGGACATATTTTCGAAATACATGATGTAAAGGCCCACGAACGGCTCGATTCTGACGACTGCATGGTTTCAAAGTGTGTATGCATGCAAAATCACGGCGCAACGATTCCGAGTGACAAAATGGCAGCATGATGGCTTGGACGTGGCCACACCAACCGGGGTGACTACACAGATGCCATCGACACTGATAAAATCGAAGCAAAACATATCAAAGTTTCAACCGAAGAACGCAATAGCAGCAGCCATGCCGCGGATGCCACAGTGCTGCCTTCGTAACTCGTCGCATATTCCAATTTTCCTACTGGTCCAAATACGTTCCTGTCTAGGCCCTTCAAAAACCGTACTAGTCTGCGCTCGTGCAGCTGTCCCATGCTTTATCACGTTTCATATGTTGGCCCTACGGTCGAGCAAACCAGCATTTTTCTTTTGCAAACGAAGCGGAGCCCAAGTGTACACGCCGTTTCGAAGCATGGCAGAGTCGAGTTTGGCGCCTTCAATCCAACACAGCAAAATGCTGCCTAGCAATTACACAACAGATCATGGAACTCACCCACATGCCCGGCCTTCATCGCGTCGCATTTGCAACAGTCGCTCGCCCGCCATGCCGGTCCCCTCCAGACTAATGCTCCTCTCGTGCTGCGCAGCCCCGCGGGCGCAGTATGCGGTAAGATCACTCCCCGCCTGCAGCTACGGGAGCCGTCGCTACCGCCCACGATGCTGGAGTGACACGCAACTGTCCTTTCGGGCCCCGAGAAGGCTGCCTTTGCTTTGCCACCGCTCGGTCCCAGCTTGCCCTGCGCCATGGGGGCTTGGGACCTCGCAGTGCGGCACGGCACGCACCGGCCGCTTAGAGGTCTTCTTGGGCCGATGTGCTGCCTGTCATCGCCTCTCGGGGTCCTCCCTGCCCTGCGCTCGTCGACACTCTTGAGGGGGGTTCGCCAACGCCAAAAAAAATCCTACAGTCGCTCCTCCTCACTCGTGTTTCTTTGACGGCATCTGGGCTTGCCCGTGCCAATGCGACGAGCATGACCGCCTCCTGCAGCGCATCCCGTCGGTCCAAGACTTGCAGGCAGCGTTGCTATTGCTACACTACCGTGCTGCTCCACGGACCAACTACCTCCTGCGTTCCTTGCCCCCAGCTACGACAGCAGCCTATGCTCCTTCGAGAAGTGGCGCACGCGGCGCGGTGATCGCCGAGCGTGTCAAGTTGCGCATCTGCGCGGCGCCAGCGGCAGAGGCATGCGCAGACATGCGCAGACGCCGCAAGAGGAGAACGCGGAACTGGGCGCTAGGGATGGCGACCTCATGGTGTGTGGGTGGGACGTTGACGGCTCGGGCAGCGAAGGGGCCCTGCTTGCGAGAGCAGCAGCGCACGGACGCGGGGGAGAGTTCAGAAAGGTGCGTCTCGAACGCGCGCTCATCGCATGCTCGTCGTTGCCAGCCTTGGGACGGCCAGGGCCCGGAGTCCTCGTCGGGGCGACGTGAGTTGAGCGGGGGCGGGCCAGCACCCTGCGTATCCCAGTCCGGGGCATCGTAGCCGGCTTGTCGCAGTTGCGCTTGGGCGGTGACTGCGGCGGCAGTGGAGGGAAGGGCGGCGCCCCCGCGCAAGGCGTGGAGGACTCTAGCGGCGGCTGCAGGCGCAAGTGCGTGGACGACAGGCAACGTAGGTGCGGCACTGCTGTCGTCAAGTGCGGAGCGGAGCCCAAGCCCTCCAAACCTTTGAGCAAGCTGGGCGGCGCGGAAGCTCGTCGGTGGGAAGGGCGCTCCCCCTTGCTCGACCAGTGCGGCCAGGCAACGGGCAACGGCGGTGTCATGCGCACCGGCGCCAGTTGCCCGAGGCAGCCGCCCTGTTGCCGCTAGGTTGTGGTTAGGCCGCCCCCTTTCGTTCAAGTGGCAACCGTGTTGCACAGCTTGTTTTGCGTCATGGCGGCCTTGGCCTGCGTAGTGCCACCCTGCACGTGCCAGGTGCTTTTCGGGCGTCGTGGGCGGGCTCCTTCACTGTTCTGTCCGTTCGGGAGCCACTGCCGGCGCCAGCCCTTGCAGAAACGAGCCGAAACAAGGAACGCACCTACCCTGTTCGGGTGGGCGCCGAGGTCCTCCTCAAACATAAGAGAGTTAACCTCCCAGAGAAACAAAAGCAGTGACTGCGAGCTCGGGTGATGCAGCCAGCGGCTGAATCGAGTCGCTTATGAGCCTGCGGCGCTGTTGTGCGCGACAGCCACTGCTGCGGCACGACCCGACCTTCCGGACCGACCGCCTCGCGAGCGACCTGAACCCATGCCCTTTCGAAGAACTGCGACTTACAAGGCTCACTTTCGCCGGGTTTTCTGCTATGTTCCCATGGGACTTTTGCGACTGGAGCGCCGCGGTCACTGTGCAAGAAACACTGCCGCTACAGCGTTTTAGCGAGGTCAGCGTCCTCCACGCCCGAGTCCGAGGCGGGTGGGGAGCGGAGGGGGGACACGGCTGGCGAGTTATAATTACTTCTATGCTCGATTCTGCGCGGGGAAGTTCGGCTTCTGCAAACCGAATACATAATTTAGAAAGTACAATGATTTGTTGTGCGGGGATGCGCGGTCTTATGCGTATACCAATTGTGGCACTGGATGTGTGTTAAACATGATGGAAATGGTCGCGCCAGCCTTGTCGCAAAAAACCATTTTTGTTACAAGCTTTGCCGCACAAGGGGCGCCCCGGCCCTGTTACAAACCAGAAAGTTTTTGACCCGCTGACTGCGTTGTCTACGGAGCAACCAGCCACGGCGAAACCTTGTGCTGCGACCCCTTTTCTCGTGCTGGCCGCCCCGTCCCCGGTGCCGACGTGCGGGCGGGCGTCGCGCTTGTCGCGGCGCACCGACGCAAAGTCGCGCGCTACCCGGACTTGACCCAGACAGTCCTCGCTGCAGTGGGGGGCTGTTGGAGTGACGAGTGCCAACAGTTCTTCCGTACCCTATACGTCGGCTCCGTGTCCAATGCGCCTCTGCAGCCCTGGGCTGGGCGCGGCGCTGTCCATTGCTTGGTGCGCCAGACGCGCTCCCGTTGGGTGACGTGTTGGACCTCGCGATGGCGAGCGCCCCGAGCCGGCTGCCGCTTCGCTAGCACCCCGTGGGCGCTTTTTGGTAAGTTGGTCTAGGTAGTTTCCGACGAAGGGATACGTTGTGCGGACGTAAACAGGTGCGGAAACAGAAAAAGTTCGTCACATACCCCAGAGTTTTGCCGCGCACGGCAGGCCCACAAGCGTATTGTTATCCCCCCCGATCCGAAAGAAAGTGCCAAAATTGGGTTTGAGCGCACACGTTATGTTAATCGTTTCCCCCGATGATTAGAACCCCCCCCCAATATTATAACTCGGATTTGGGGGTTCGGTTTTAATATTAGGGGGTTTAGGGGGTGGTCAGGGTCAGACGGTCAGACAATCACAACACGACCGTCCACGCGGCCAGACCCAGACAGGCCGACGACCTAGACAGCCACCATCCCTAAGCCCTAAACCCTAAACCCTCAACCTTAAACCCTAAGCCTTAAACCCTCAACCCTAAACCCTCAAACCCTAAGCCCTAAGGCTTAAAGCCTAAACCCTCAAACCCTAAGCCCTAAGGCCTAGACCCTCAACCCTAAACCCTATAAAGCCTTAAACCCTAAACCCGAGAGCCAAAGCCTTAATTAAGCCCTAAGCATTAAACTCTAAAGCCTTAAACCCTAAAATCTTAAGCCCTGAGCCCTTGACCCCTAAACCCCTGGTCAGTACTACTGTAGTCTTGGTTTCATTAAAACTCATACAATCCCTAGGCCCCCCCTAATATTTTAAATCAACTTTCAATTACGGGCCCGAAACCGCAAAATCCCGGGGGCCGGCAGTTTTATTAGGGGGGGTTTAGTAAACGCGGGAAGCGATTACTGTGTTACATTCTCGGTTCGCTGTCCTTTCTTTGGGCTGGATGGCCATAGTCACGTCGCAGCCTCGGCAGAGCGAGACGGAAAGATGGCTTTCACAACGACATGACCCGCAGTCTTTGCGCGACCCCCGGTAGGCATGATGCCCAGAACAACGGAGAAAACACAAAAAGCCAGCAGCGGTTTGTTCGAATTTATTCACCGCATCCGTCAGGAACGGCTCATTGTCGCCATGTGCTGGGAAACTCGAGCCCAATATTGAAATGGCATGGACCACATGGAACTGCATGCAACCTTAGTAATACTTTAACGTGTACGATGGTGCAACACGCAGGAACCATTCCTCCGCTACCCCAGCGGGAACAATGATAAGCAGTCATGGTCGTCATAGACCCGGCCGGGTGGACAGTCTTTGTTTATGACCGAACAAACAACTGCTGTTGCACATGGCCTGTCTGCAGGAAGATGCTATTCCGAGCCCAATTTCAAGCAGTTGCGACGTGTCCTTGCACAAAAGCAGACACTTTGCTCTCCTTTTTGGCATCGATGTCGGACGCGTTGTGTTTCTGGTAGAGGTGGTCAACAGTTCGTTCGTTTTGCAGGACCGGTTGTGTTTTCCGTGATCCCCGGCATTGCACAAGCCCGGCAACAACAGTGCCAAATTACCAAGGTGGCTGATGTCACAATTGCTGTTCCTCAAGCGGTGCGGGGAAAATATCAATTTGATCCAGGCAACAGAACGGCAGTGAGCTTACGGCGTTAGCCGCCGCGTCAAAGCTCAGCAGCCCGTTGTTCCTTGCCATTGTTTGTGGTACCGGCAACGGTTATTGAGGCATCCTTTGGAATGATGGCCGACAGCTACGAATTGCAGGAGATGGTGAAAGGCAAAGCACGTGGTCGTGAAATGTCCTGAGCATGTCACGCTTGCTACGGCATCATTTCAAAAGCATGACATGGGTTTGACATCTGTTTGCTTTGCCAGAATTCTCGACTGGTGGATCCCGGCGAGAATCGGTGACCGGAGCGAAGATCGGGTTGAAAAAATACGTCGAGGACGGGAAACATGAGCATTAGCAGGTGGAACTGGGAGGTGTATCGAGACTTGCACACGCAGAAGATTCGTGTCAAGTTGGTGTCGAAGGAAGCAGACGTCAAGGAAACCATGGTGTCGAAAACTGTGCGTTTGTTCACAGGCTCGTGTGTTTGCTTGTTGTTGTGGTTGGTCGTGCTCATTGTTACAACAGCTGACCGTGCAGGCCCGGACACCAGCAGAGTTCCAGATGCAGACGACAGTTTGCTCAGCAAGGCCGTCATCCGTGGGGTACGGGAGCAGAGACTGTGAAGGTGGTTGGGGATGTTGGGCATTCCGTAGTGCAATAGGTTCCCGAAAACTAAATGTCATTTCGGGTATCGATGCATGCGTATTATCATGAAGCCCACGGTGACGTGAACGTGCACATCATATTCAGTGACGGCAAAGGCTCGCCACCTCGCCACGGACTTTGCCGGGTGGCGGGGCCCTTAAACAACACTCCATGTATGCAAGGCGATGCTACTGCTAGTTGCGTTGGGTTTGACGACGCACTTCCACCATCAGCCGTCAGGTGGGATTCGTTGAAAGAGCCGGACCGCGTTGGTTGTACACACAGCGCGCTAGCGCCTGGGAATTCAAGTTTCGCACCATTTAATTTGTTGGTGGCAATGTCAGTTCGAGCATGGGCTGCTGCCAGGGCTGCGGCATTATTCGCCAAAGAATATTAAAGAGTGCGCGATCTTTCGGGGCTACCGTAGAGTTTGATCTGCATACGCTGCACCTTCACACAAGGAATCCAGATGGTTCCGGGTGACGTCTGCAATGGCAGCTGGGTTGCAAGGTGTTCTTCGGAAAGAGCATGCAAGAGGATTCCGGCTCATACCGCTGCTGGGATCAGGTGTTTTTTAGCGTTCGTTGGTTCATGTTTCCCAGAGGTTATTGTCATCAACGCAATCGTCGTGACCTGGTTGACCGACTGGAGCCTGCAACACAGTGGCCGAAGCACCATGGCTACTCGTGACTGTCACATTTCCAGGATGTTTGCATTTCTTACAGTGAAGTCGCATGCTTATGTCCCTGGGGCACGACATCTGCTCGCGAGCGTGATTGTTTCGCCAAGATATGCCTCCGGGTTTCGAAGTTGTCGACCTGGCGTTCTTGCTTTTCTACGCCCCTTTGCTGCAAGTAAGTTGATTTGGTCGTTGCATTAATGGTCACATGTGGCGGGATTTGGGTGAATCTTCACGGAACTCTCGCATCGTTCCACGTCTCTGCTGCAGGCGGCGGAGATCGGGATGAAGTTTTATGTGCACAGAGGCACGAGCGCCAAAAGCCTTGCACACACAACATGTCCCAGCAAGTCTTAAACCTTTTGACACATGGCCTGTGTTTGAGGGTGTGTTTGATTGATTAACCCCTGTCCAGGATATTTCTTCGCGAACGAGAATGCGGCTTGGAACATCTTCGAACCTTGGAGCATGCCAGCGAAGTGAAATTATTTTCGTGATCATCCGGTGCACGCTGCAGTGTACAAGTCGGATGTGGTGCCAACCCCTCCTTGCCTTGCACCGCAACCCGCGCACGAGGATTCTAGTCTCCACACTTCACACAAGCGGACCGAACGTTTTGTACATGCTCTGATGACTCTGCAACCCCAACATACGAGAAGCATTTGTTGTTTTATGGATAGCACACCAGACAGCTCGAAAGCATTGCTACAATACTTTGCGATCTTTCAGTCGCTTGATTAGCTGTAATTATGTGTTGCACTCGTGAAAAGCTGTCGACATCAGAGCAAATTACTCCCTACAGGTGCCTCGCGTCCACTGTACACGGTGTGTAAGCGCTGCAACAGTATGAAAGCTTCATGTCTACTATCTACTGTACCCAGTGTGTCAATGCTGCAGCAGTATTCAAGCCGAGCAAAAGCTTGCCTGAAAGTCTGATTGTTAAGGACCTGATATTGGTGATTTTTTCTTCCTTTGATGTTGCTGCCAATTGGCCCTCGAGCTCCGATGACGAAGCCCCTCCGAACAACTTGGGCTACATGAATCTTGGATGCAAAGTGGCAGCGCCCGGGTCGCGGGAGAGAGAGAGAGAGAGAGAGGCAAGGCAAGAGTCGGCTTCGTCAAAGAGCTAAACCAACCGCAGCGAACAGCCAAGGCGTGTTTTTCGCATGCACGGCACTCAGAATTGAATTGAAGGGGGCCTAGTATGGCCTGCATGGTCGATTCGAGGGCATGAGGAGTAGACGAGTAGCCATAAGCTTTCTCTCGGACGGCCCGGCTGGTGTGATTGATGCATGCACGTTTTGCCAATTTCACAGCTCAGTGGCAGAATCCGATTGAGCGGCATTCTCAGAGTTCTGGTTTCAAAGCCGACGCCCAAGCCACTTCGTGTTGTCAATCTGACAGCCTACAGCTTGAGTTACTTGCAGAAAGAAGGCGTCAACAACCACAGCAGCAGCTGCAGCTAGTGAGCCAACAACCTTTAACTAGAACAATCACACTCAGGACGGCAACAACAGCACCACTGCCGCCACCACAGCCACCACCACCGCCGCCGCCGCCACCACCACCACCACCACCAACAACAACAACAACCACCACCGCACAGCGGCCAGAACCACGACAATCACGACGGCGACGATGACGACAAGGAGGAGGAGGATGAGGACGACGACGACCTCGACGCCAACAGCAGCAGCAGGAGGAACCTAAAACACGTATCGGAGCAACTACACTAGCGGCATCAGTCTCGTGCCATCCTCGTACACGTCCTCATCGCCATTGTCGTCTTGTCTAGACCATTCCAGCCGCAAGCAAGGCCGCGAGCAATGTCAGCGCGGTACGTCGTTTTGTGCGCTTGCACTTCTTGTCTATATCGTCTTCATCGGTCTCGAACTGATGACACATCGCCACCGGCCACAATCTTCGTGAGGTTCAAATTCGCGAAGATTCTCCGAACGATCCGAATCATCGCCTTTGTGCGAGAGTTCTTTGGCTCGGGTTTAGAGGCTTTCCGAAGCCATGATGCAAGGCTAAGCAGGCCTTGAAGTTGACACCTTAACGCACTTGGAGGGTTGTGGAGCGGCGGAGATAGTTGGGACCAGTTGAGACCCTGTGACCAGATGATCGGTTCAGCACTTGGAAGGCCAAGGTCTGGCATTGAACGGTGTTGGTTTCCGATAAGTATTTCTGGTAGTTTATGTCTCTTAGATGAGTTGTGTCGTGTCCCAACTGAGGCTTTCGATGATGCTGGAGAGCCGCCCGGCCTGCACTGGAAGTAGCAAAACAGATAGGCATGCATACATCTTACATGGCCAAATGTATGATGACGGCGAAGAAGCCGAAAAAGACGGCGACATGGAAACTTTGCTCCAGCAGTTTGCGGCTGCTAGGCTGTGAAATGACGTGACAACAAGAACCGAGATAGTTGTCCCCATACCTGTCGATAGTCAAAACACTAACGAGGAACAAACATGCAAATTTTGACCACTGGTTTTAGAACGGGGTGGTGCTGGCTGTCATGCGGGTGTTTGCGGATTGGTCGAACGAGTCGCCGATCGGATCAAAATCAAACATGGCATAACATGACAGCAGACAACGGAACACCACCGGACCACACAATACAACCAACAAAGGACGACAGCAAAGGCTTGGCATATCTTCAACAAGGGGGCAAAGACCAAATTGCGACGAGCCGTAGCAGCCAGGTGGATCCGTGGAAAGTATGGCGCCCATCATTGTCGCTGCAGTTGAAGCCGGCGGGACGTCGTTTGTGATTTGCACGGCCGAAGTCTTCCCCGCTGCCAAACCAAAGATACTACATCGCAAAGAGGTCGACTCGTCGCATTCCGATCCGGCAGCTACTATCCGGGAATGCGCGGAGTTCTTCAAGGAGTTCAAACCTGAGGGTGGATACCACGCCCTGGGCATTGCAACATTTGGCCCCGTGGGTCTGAACGGCAACGCGACAGGTTATGGCTGCATCTTGCCCGGATCGCCGAAAGCTCCATGGCGGAACGTGAACCTTCTGGAACCGCTTGCGCAAGCCTGCAGAGGAAGGAGGGAGTTGGCAGTGAAGATCGAGACGGATGTCAATGCCCCGGCATTTGCCGAATATCTCATGGCGAAGGATCAGCTGTCCTCTGTGGCGTACGTTACGGTTGGGACGGGGGTTGGCGTGGGATTGGTTGTGAATGGTTCGCCCGTTCACGGCTGGATGCATCCGGAGGGAGGCCACGTCCCGATTCAGCCACTGCCAGGAGACGAGTTCCGTGGTTATAGCTGGGGTGGGAAGTCACCCTTTGGAGGGCGCAACACGGTCGAAGGGATGGCTTCGTCCGTCGCTTTGACGGAACGGCTGGAGGCGATTACAGGCAAGCAAAACTTGTCCCGTGCATCTCTCGCCGATTTGGACGACGACCACGAGGTTTGGAACCATGCTGCAAATGCCCTTGCGAACCTGGCTACGACCTTGGTGCTGACAGTATCCGTGGAACGAGTTGTGTTCGGCGGCGGTGTGATGAATCGGAAATGCCTTTTGAACAAGATTCGAGAGCGGACTTTGCAGCTGCTGAATGGCTACCTCGAACTGCCAGATATGTCGACATTCATTACCGGGAGCAGCTACGGCTCGGATGTTGGACTGATTTCTGCTATTCTGCTGGCGCAAGAAGCGCACAGTCCTGGCGAGGCAAGCAGCACTGAACGGGGCGGCAAGAAAGGGGACGATGTGACACCCTACAATGTTGGGCTCCTTCAAGGCACGGTGCTTGGCATCATCATCACTATGGCAGGAGCCGCATTCATGCGATCAGCGAAACGCTGACAATGTGACGCAACCTCAGCATTCAAAACCTGGCTTAAAAAACTGGCGACTCCATTCGTCTATTGCTTGACGCAGTGCTCATATTGGATTGCAATACTAGAGCCACTACTGTGTGAGCCGCATTAGCAGTACTGGGACAGACCCCGCTCCTGGTTTGGCTCCTAGCAGAAGCCGTCAGCGCAGTTTGAAGCTTGAACTGAAAGCTTTTCTTTTTTGTTTTGATTTCCTGAACAACACCGTCCCAGCCTGAAAGCCACATAAGCATAACATATTGATACAGGTTTTAGCAGGTGCGCGGACATGAAAGTTACAGCAGAAGATAAGTCCCCCAAGGTTTTATTCTTGTGGTGCTGGCCGTCACAGGATCCGTAAGACGATTTCTCTTGGAAGCTTGTCCCCGAACCTTTTGGCAACTTGTGGCATTCAGAGTTCTGGATGGCTTCGGGAAACCGGGCTGCACAGTATCCTTTGTACATAATCGGCTCCTTACCCCTAAGACGAAGAGTCTCATGGGTTCAGGAGGCTCAGATGTACCCAGCTTTGCAGACAAGATGTCAATGTGGGAGCTTCAATAATCATAGACCGCGGGTATTACAAGGAACCCTAAATACGGAATTCCTGATGTCAAGAAACCCCATATTCCCAGATGCACCCAGGCTTCCGACAATGCGTCATTGCTATGTTTTGGGGACTGGTGCTACTTTTGTTCCTCCTGTACGTGTTCGCTGCTTGGCGAGAGATTTCTACCAAGTTCCGAAAGCATCTAAGGGTTTTCAGCCTGCACTTTCCTTAAACTAGACATCAGGCACCCTAAACTCCTAAACTCCTGCTGCTCCAAAGGCTTGCTTCCGGGTGTCACACCCCACCATCCTCAGCCTTCCAAACTGGAAGTACCCGGCCAAATAGTTTCGGCATATCCATGTAGCTTCCGTTGCCATGCGCTTGTCGTTCTTCAACGTTTTCGTGCGATGCATCATCATGCCCATGTCCACCCTCAAAGCTTCGTCCTGTTGCCCATGTTGCTTGTCGTGCTCATCCTCTTGTCCATGGTTGTCGACGTCGGCACCATCCGTACTCAGCCGTAGTCATTATCCTTTAGCTCGAACTCCCTAGCCGTACCCGCACGAGTTGCAGAGCGAACAGCCGTGCAGTAGCCAATGCACCATTCAAGGAGTGTATATGCTGAGGCTTTAACCAATGGGTGCACCATAAGCCGCGCTCTACCGACGAAGTGCTGTTGTTCTTGATCTGCACCAGGAATATCGGGTTGCTACTCATTCACGAGGCACATGAGCCATGGAATCCCTCGGCCTGTGCCAGTCATGGACACCCAAGAGAAATCAGAAAGCTTCACCCAATGTTACCCATAAGCGTCCCTGGCTGGACGTGCAGAAGTGAGAACTGAGGTTGATGGTAACCTACTTGGAGGTTCATGGGTAGTTATAAGTAGGCTATAATTATAAGTCTATTAGGGGACTTATACCCCCACTTATAACTACCCATGAATCTCCAAGTATCACACTTCCATTAGAAGTCGGCAGTTGATTCCCGAATGTCACACATCCCACACAGGCATTGGTCTTCGCACAGGGCGTCGCAAGTGTGTCGGCTCATGCCGCTTGGATTATCGAGCTTTCAGAGTTGTCTTCCCGCCCTAAACCCTAACCCCAAGCTGCAGAACTATCTTTTGACTTTGCTGTCTGACGCTAGCGACAATCTCACGACGCAGAACCCCGGCTGAACCATTACGAAGCACTTGCAAGCAGTGGCTCCGGCCGAGCACCATGCTGCAGCTTGATGCGTTAGGTCTTGCAGTTGCAGGCAAAGTCTGTTCGATCAAGCTCAGGTGGGTGAACGGACCTAGGAAGTATTTGGGAAAACATTCAGGGCCAAGTCTTCGCCCGTAGCTGTTGCGTGGAGTTTCTGCTGGAGTAGTTATGCGGACTAAGGGTGAGACTTAGAATTGTGTCCGTGCTACCCCAAAGCCCTAAACCTGAGACTTAGCCGCTACCGAGGAAGGTGGAGATGTACGCGAGGATGTGATGTCTACCTTCGGCTCTGTGGGGGATTCTATGCTTCTCGCTGAAGTTCATCATTTGGGCCTGCGTGTATAGGTTTGGAAGTTTCGCAGTTCTTATCACAGCAGTTGGCTCGTGCGAATGCACAAGAGCCCATCAAAGCAGAAGCTTGAAGCTTTCGAGCTTGGGAAATTGTTGATTTCCATTTCCTTGTCCTGCTCTCGGCACAGTGAGAATGTGCAGTATGTAGCGGTAGCTTTGCAGTTGAGTTACACGTAGATTGCATCGGGATGTTCGCCGGTTCTATGCTGTCCTTTTTCAATTTGATGTGTGTCGTCTTCTTCTCGGGGGCCCATGCTAGCTGCAAGCGCCAGCCTGACGCTGTCGGCAGTGAGGCAGGCAGTTCAGGCAATCTCCTGGGCAACCGAAATGCTATACTCCTTGGATGATGTGCACCTCCACGCAGTGTTACAGTTCTTACAAAGCTATAGATGCTATAGCCTGCACGTTGGCATGAAGGAAAGTCTCCCTCCACATCGAGATGTGTGCCTCAAACGGCCTGGGGTGGCACTCAGTGTACACCAAAAAATATAAAACCGAGAAATGGGACATATTACGACGCTATGAAAGTCACGGAACATCCCGAAACCCTGGATAGATCAGGTGGATGGCATAGGTCCTTGTGGCTAGGATCCCGTTGGAGATGCCAGCGTCCCTAAACCCTAATACCCGAAAGACCCCAAACCCTGACCTTGACCAGCTCCCTATAAGCTCCTCACCCGCCCTTGCTCACCAGTACTGTCCAGCATGAAGGAGTACCATGTGCACAACAAGGTTGTTTAGCTTTCTGAGAAGCTAAACCTTAGATTGATGAAGAGTGACACCTGCATAGATGACAGACAGATCCGTAGCTTGCGCAAAGAGCGGAATACCGCCATCTAACTGGCAACGTGAACTAGAGCCAAGCCATTCCAGTCGAATGCCCCAGCCATCGAGGCTTTCCCTGTACATGGCGGTGACAGGAGGGAACGATTGGTCGGTCTACTACGAGGACAGCTTCGGCTTAGGGTTTAGGTTTAGGCTTTCCTAGGCTTTAGGGACTTTGGAGTTAGGGCAAATAGGGTTTAGGGTTTAGGGTTAAGGCTTTCAGGTCTGCTGTGTCTAATCAGACAAACTGGAGCTGCTTGTTCTCAAAGGCATGCGAAAGCGTCGTCACACAAAGCTGAGGCCACCATCGCCATGGGCTCCTTCTATCCTGTGGTATTCCTGTCTTACACCTTCTTCTTCATCTTCGCCTTCGGGCTGCAACTTAATGACATGTTTGGCTGCGAGCTAGGGTTTGGGGGCTGAATATGACTGCGACGCTGGTGGGTGAACATTCCAGCAAGCAGCGCTGTCCGACGCTGTCCCCGTAATTAGTTGGACTGGACGCGGCAGGAATAAAAGCCCCACCTGAGCGAACCGCTGCGGTGTGGTACAGCGGTATCAGGAATAATTCTCGTCAGCCGTCGTCCAGCTACAGCTATATGGCACAGGATGCATGCATTAGATTCTCCACTTCCTTCCATGCATCAGCCCTTATAAGGCGCTTTTCAACATCCTCACGGGCGTTTTCGTGGAGCGTGCGGTCGCCGCTGCCCTGCCGGACCGGGAGGAGCTGATCGCACAGGAACGGAAGAAGATCCTGTGACTCGGGCGCCATGTATTCGCAGAGGGGCCTGAACCATCAATAACTATAAGGCCTACGTCCGAAACTTGTGCATACTGAAGGCTTTCGGGCTTTCGGGCATCTAATCTAAACTCCAGACGGTCTATCCGAGAGTCAGAAGCCAAGAAACAGCCTCGCCCGCATCTGTCCAGGGCCAGGGCCCGGGCCCCCCACACCCTACACCCGTAAGCCCCACCCATAGGCCCCTTAGTAGTTCCTTTTTGGGGCTCATATTTAGAATCCTATAAGGTAATCCCAAAAAGGAACTACTATGGGGCCTATGGGTAGACCCTATTCAAAACATCCGACCTCTCTGAGAGTCTTCGATAGAATCTCTCGGGTGAAGCTGGCGAGCTGTCATCGAACTGTGTTTACCACGGCAGGCTGGCAGTCGCACTAATTGAGGTAAAGCGACCTGAGTGGTACTTTTAGAACACATCATTATAGAATCATGTCGCCATGCACGCAACACTTTCGCCGATACCGGGACACGGCAGGGACACGGCACCGGGACACGGCAGGGACACAGTGTCGGAACACAGTGTTGCAAACAAGATAAATACATAAATACATATATATATATATACATGTCTATATGTGTATACATAATACAAAGAAAAAAGGCATGTGTGTGTTTTACTAGTAGGTGTTAATACTTGTTCAGAAGAAAGTATACAAATATACCGCTACATATATTTTCTATATATATATATACACACACACATGTATATCTTGTCTGCCGTGTCCCGGTGCCGTGTCCCGCCTGTGTCCCGGTGCCGCGTCCCGCCTGTGTCGGATTTGTGCATTGTGACTGCGGCAACGACGACGACGACTACTACGACTTCTACGTCTAGCCATTCCGCCTCTGATACTGCTACTGATGCTGCTGCTGTTGCTGCTATAGTTCCTTCCACTGCTACTATCGCTGCGACGACGACGACGACGAGGACGAGGACGAGGACGAGGACAACGGCGACGACAACACCCGCGACGACAAACACCCACAACGACGACTGCGATGAGTAATGTGCCGACAAACAGCAGCAGATGCAGTTGGTGGTTAGTGAAGCAGCTGACTACACGGCTCGAAGCCGGAAGCCGCCAAGGAAGCAGGTGGAGGACTTGCGGGCACTCTTCAAGGCTTTGGATTCGGATCGCTCCGGGAAAATCTCCAAAGCAGAGTTCTTGGCGGACATGGAGGATGACCCCTCTCAGCAGACATGGTTCGGAACTGAACGCTTCAGCGAGGTTATTGCAAGCGTTGTAGAGCCGGCGTTTCTGCTGGCAAACTCAGATAGATCGCTCTTTATAATTTCAGAAGTGCGGGGATCTTAGTAGTCCCGCCAAGGCAGGGGATTGCGGCTTGAATCTAAGCTTCCGTGCGTCGGAGTGGGGCGTCACTGGGCTACCCAAAAATACCGCGGATAGAGATGCGCTAACCTTTCAGCAGATGCTGGAACAGTGTAGCACAAAAACTCCGCATGAAACCCAATTCAGGAAAGCCACCGCCTAGGACAGGATTGTGTCCTACATGCACACATTGGGTCTGGACATGCATGATGCCGAGCACTTCTTCGACCTGCTGGCAAGTGACAGAAACCAACAGGACATTTCAAGGGCATTGCTTCAGACTCTAAGACTCAAGGTCCCTCCAAGCCTCCAGGCACGCAGCGACGAAACGTAGAGCCAACCCTGGGCGTGCTTGGTCAAAGCATCAGGATACTTCCCCTGGAATTGCCAGGAAAAACCACACAAATGAATGCTTCAGGAACCAGTCTTCCGGACTTGATTGGAGGCTAAGTCGTGTTTGGAGATTTGGTGGGAGATGCTTCCAGAGCAGAACCTCCCGAGGCAGAGCTTTACCAAGCCTGGGGTACTTCAGCGCTGTGGGCCCTGTCATTAGACACTTCAGAGTGGGAATGTAGAGTCCGGCAATTGCAAGCTGTGCAGAGGGGAACATATACGTTGTCGTGGTTGTGGCTTGAAGTTGTGGAATCGTGTTGAGCAAGGCTGGCACGCCAAAAAACTGGTATGGGCTAGAAGCAAACCCGCCTCTGTGGGTCAGCAGGCGCAAGTGGTAGCAAAGTCTCTGCAGGAAGTTGACATTGACAACTTCATCGAGCACTGCATGAGTATGAAAGGAGCCCTGGCCATGTAGAATTCGGGGTATGCTGGGTTCCCATCCATGGCAGCTCTTTTGACTTTGGGCGGTTTCGATGCCATCTTGCCATCATTTATGTCGCGGAAGTCGCTGGACCTTCAACGCCCAGTCCCGCGGAACCCTGCGATTTTGGTGACGGTGTACTCCCGGTTTCGAGCTCCATGATGGCTGCTTTCAGACTTGGAAATCAAAAGCCTCATGGCAGTGAGTGGTGATTGCCGCATTATCGACTCTTTGCGGGCAGTGATACGCGTAGTAGTACTGAATTGCTTCTTCACTCTTTTGCTACTAGTCACCCACAGGAACACTAACCAGGTCAACAGGATGCACTGCCACTGCCCGCCGAGCAAGACTGACCTGAGTTTGGTGTTGCGCGTATGTGTCAACAGCTACCACAAATTATAGACTACTTCGATATAGTTATCCAACTCTCCCTCCATACATATATATATATACATATATATATATATATACAGATAAGTATATAGCTGGTAATGAAGCTGGCGTCTTTCGGGCGTGGTCGATGTCTTGTCGTCGCTGCCATGGTTGGCACATGTAATGTAGGGGCCTTAATAATTAGAATACTGTTTCGGGGTCTATTGTACTATCATTAGAATAAGGAACCCCCAATACCCTATTCTAATTATTAAGGCCCTTATACTATGTCCATGATGTAGCACTTTACATCTCACAGGTGCCAGAACATCTGCGCGTGCAACAGCTTACAGCTTCGCTTTTGTGTTTGTGCATTGAAGCATATGCATCGGTAGGGTTTCGAGGTTGAGCCATAGTTTGGGACATTGTCTGAGACACTGAGGTTTGGTTTTCTTGCACGGAAGCTTTCGTTGTGACTTGTTGCTCTTCCGGAGGCTTCGATGGACAGCCTTATAAAGGCCCGGAACAACCACCAGACTAAACCTGACACTGGTGTACACTGGTGCCAAGGAACGGCTACCGCCATGGATCTGCATAAGCAGATGGTTCAGGTGCAGCATGTTTCGTTACTCCACGGGTCGTGCGACTGAAGTTAGTGGGCTGCAGCTTTCGGACGTGAAGGTTATATAGTGTGCAGGATGTTGATTTCCGAACAGTGGTCACAAGACAGAGATCTCGTTGTAGACTTTCTGTAGTGCATGAAGACCTGTGCGTGACTGCAGCCTTTCAAAATGCTGCGGCTTTATGCCAGAACACTGGATAAACTGCACAGCACATGGCATGTGTCTGGCTGGCTTGCCACAAGACCACACTCCTCAAACTCCATTGCTGACAGTTCCAAGACTGCACGCCATTGCCCTCATTGGGTTCGATTTTCTTCCGTCATCAATAATCTTCGTGGATTGCACCGTAAATGTTGCATATATGTGACATAATGGAGGTTCAACATGTAGCCTTGTAGCCTCAAAATGCAAAGCAGGATGTCTGGAGGTGTCCAACGAGTCTGGGGTTCGACCCGCGAAGACATCTCCCGTACAAGCCTGCTTGCGCACATGGTTCATTAGAGTAGGGCTGGGACTTGGGCTACTCTTAACATATGTACGTACGCAGTGTACTTACTATACAAACAACGCAATCTGTGTATACAGATATACCCACGATCAGTGTAAATTACATGTTGTTTCTAAACTTTACGAGCAGTTTATAAGGGTACAAACTCAGCTTCATGCTCTTTCTCTAGGAGGGGAGGCGCACAGTTGCCTCGCGTCTCCGACAGAGAGAGCTGCGAAGAGCAACCTGTTAGCCATCTCTTTAAGTTTTCAATAATACGATCTCGTTTAGGGTTTAGGGGTTTAAAGGTTTAGGGCCTTATTGAAGGCAATATAGCAATATGTACGTATGCATCGTGCTATTGTTATAAGTCGGTCTTACTTGCTCGGCTCCTGCAGAGTTGGCCAGGTGAACAAGGTCCTCGACAAGCTGACGGCATGTGACCCAGATTGGCCTTTCTTAGGACTTTAGGGGTTTAGGATTTAGGGTTTGAGGTTTACAGTAAGATAATTGTTTTTCCTGCATATGAGAGACCCAAGTTTCTCAAATTCCGCGATGCTTGCAGAATCTGTCTTCGGTGTGCTTTGCTGCCGTCAGAAAGCAGTCAACATCAGTCAACGCTCATGTCCGGAAGCTTCCCGGCACTGCGGCAAGCAACCCTTACAAACTCTAGAGCCTGACAGCTTTGGCCTTTATCATGCCTGCGAGGTAGGAAATTCATGTAAGCAATCCCTCATAATCAGACTTACCCCCCATATTATGGATTATGGAGTTTAACATAATAATATGACTAGTTATAACAATAATAATAATAACAATAATAACAATAATACTATTAATAATAATAATAATGATAGTAATAATAATAATAATAATTTCTATATATATATATATACATATGTGTATATGTATATATTCGTTTTTATATATATATATATATATTTTTTTCTATGTGTATTATAAACTATAGGTCATAGGCCTTAAATCGACCCTATAATACCAAGAAGATTACAAAGAGGCCCCAACAATCGAGCTTGAGGCCTGGGAGCTTTCCAACTGGCCGGCGCTCTTCGCGACATTGCAGGCAGGGTTTGGGGCTTAGGGTTTAGGGTTTAGGGTTTGGGGCTCTTAAAAAAGGGTCAGAATACTTAGCATGTCCGCTTAGGGTTTATATGGTTCAGGACTGGTTTAGGGCTCTCAGAGGGGTCAGAAGAATGAGTAATAACGTGGGTTTAATTAGGGTTTAGGGTTAATTCGTAATAATGTCCGTTTTGGGGGTCTTAGAACGGTTAGAATATAACTACATAAATGTAACAGTGAAATATAACCCCAAACCGTAGCTCGAAATGATTCAGGCCCCTTTCGGAATGATCAACTTCTACATTTTGCAGATTCAGGGTTCGGGCTTTTCTTGCGCCGGCTTGGGGCGAACGGTCTGAGAAGCTTTGGGTAAGTATATATGCTGATTGCATTTTCCCTAGGAAGCCTAGCGCTGTAGGTTCTCTAGGTTCAAAACGAGAACAAACTTACTAAAACAGCAAATCCCGAAACTATAGATGTTTCGGCACATACCACTGCTCACGCTCCCAGAGCCTTGACCGAGCATCGTAAGGACTAACCACATTCTGAAACCCATCCACCAGCGAAGGAGCAAGGGGAACCGCACAGATGATGCCGTCACGACGGCTATCCATTTGTCAGCCGTGGGGCCAGTTCCTTTCCGGGTTTCGGTTTGTGGGGCTTCGCGGGCTTCCAGGGTTCAGGGCTTCATTTGAGCTTTCGGAGCATGGGAGCTTCTCGGGCTGAGACATGCCCCTCTACTATAGGGGCCTTAATAATTACCTTTATTGTGTTGGGGGTTCCTTATTATAATTCTAGCATAATATACCCCCAAACCCTTTTTTTGCTACGGCCCTGCGCGCTGGTTGGCGCGCATTGGCGCCGACTCTAGCTCTCTAAGGTGTCTGGCTATAAGGGCATACTTAACATGCGGCAGAAGATGCTATGACCCGAGGCGGTTTGATCGCAAAGGAACCTAAAGTGTCTCTGGGAAGTGGTTGGTGCCCAATAGGGTATAGGTCGTCCTTTACGAGTGCCTTGCAGCTTGATGCGATCCTTGTACGGGGCTTGGAAGACTACCGTGTAGAGCGGTTCGGTTCTCTGGGCAAAATAAACCTTAGGGATGAATGACCCCAAAACCCTATTCTAATTATTAAAGCCCCTGTGTTACCAGCCCCTGGTGCAGCATTGCAGTGTCCAAAGTCTTGAAACTTCGCTCTTCACCCAAGAGGAACTGGCCCCAGTCTGGGATTCCTTGTGCCGCGGCGTCGTATTGAATTGGCACACCCGGGCGGGAGTCTGTTGCGAGTTTGATTGCGTTTGCCCAGACGCTCGCAGAACCTGCATCAAGTCGCATGCCACGCAGAGTCCAGGGCCAGGTTTTTACCGGGTTCATGTATTGGTCTTTGCTGTTGAGCACGAGGTTTTGAGGTTTTGGCTTCGGTTGGGTTTCTTGCTTGAAATCAAAGACTCTATCTGTAGCTCTGACACTACATCGTGGAATCCCTGGCGCTAGTCTTACTGTAGGAGAAGCCGGCTGGAACCTCAGAAGTTTAACTTGTGACATGACTCCTCATCAACCTGGGAAACAAGTTTTCTTGCAGCAGGGTCTTCAAGGGCCCTTGCTCTCGAGCAGAAGAGCTGCTCCGCATCGTGTCCAATGCAGCGAGCTTGCCAACATGACGATTAAGCCAGTGGATTTGAAAATGCTTTGAAATTGACAGATCCAAGATGAGTAGGTCTTCATAGGAGAGACCGAGTTTGCTGTTGTCTACCTGCCGTCGCACATGCGGCGGGAGTTCGTTGGACCAGCTTCTGCCTAAAGGCTGGCATCGGATCCTTGACAAGATTCGTGGTATTCGATGGGCCATGTTTCTGATGCCAGCGCCCTTCGCATGCAACATCCTGCAACAGAAGCCAACCAATTATTCATTGCGAGAAGTCAGTACTCAACCCCGGTCAACATTGTCGATACCGGAGCTCGACGACAAGTGAATGTGGATCCGTGCTTAATGCTGGGAATGCCATACA